AGTGCCCTCTGCAGCCCCGCCCGGGCGGGAGCTCAGCGCTCCCCTGAGCGGAGAACACACACCCACGTGTGCCCCGTAACCTAAGGGAAGCTAAAGGCAGACAACCCTACACGAAAGAAAAGAAAGCAGAAGACTGTCAGAGTGCCTTAGTTCTGTGGAGACACGAACCAAGAGCTTTCTTAGCACTTAAAAGCAACGGCATCCATAAAGTGACCTCCAGACCTCAAAATTACTGAGAGATGAGCAAGCCTTGTTCACCTGTTACAGTTTTTAATTCTAGCCTAGACGTACCAAGTTGATTCACCTGCATGGGCTAAAACCTTCTAAAATTCCTGGCAAGTGGTGACTTTATTAATGTGAAAATTATAGTACCACAGGAAGGAACATATAGATTGTATTTCTGCCATGGCTCATCCATGAGAAAGACTTTGTCATAGCAAGGTCCTGGAATACATGCAGTTCTCTTCCTTACCAAAGTCAGGCATTCCCATCTCCATCTCTCCCACCTCCTTTGCCAGTCCTCTGGCAGCTCGTTAAGATCTCTTGCTTTATGGGTAAATATGCTTAGAAATATTCCAAGTCACTCACCAACAACTAATTCTTGGCACGTGGTTGCTGCAACAGAGGTTCATCTCCAAAATCCTGCTTTCTGCTGATGCTTGCTGAAAGAAAAGTAGTTCTTACACTTACAAGTCTGCTGACTGCAGCCTTTTGTAATCTTCCACCAAATTAACCAAGTCTTTCAGGTGTAAAGTTCTCAGGTGTATTGACTTTGGCTTTGGGTTTTTTCCTCCTACATAGTTAGTGCAATGCAATGCCACTACTGGGTAATGTGTCAGTAATTTAGGATACAAGTGATTAAACCCTTTTATTGACTCAGAGGATCTGTCTTTTTCTGTAACTGTGAAGGCACAGAACATTATTCTTTGGACCTCTGCAACATCATTGGTCTAGAGGGTACATGAAAAAGTTAAGACACCTCAAAGGTCGCATCTTTCAGGGTTTTCTTGGGCAAGATGGAGTAATTTAACCTCATTTACAAGTTGCATGACAATGTCTGCCTCATGGGGGAAGGATGGGTTAGTCTTATTTTTACATGGAAAATTCAATATACTGAAAATTACCTAGAAGGCTTTTCAGTTTTCAGAGTGGAAGAATCCAGAGGGTTTTCTTTTCCATGTGTGAAGCTTTCTGTTTCAGAAGCTGACACTGGTGGTAGTTGAGTGGTCTGAGGTCTGGAGTAAGGTTTCTAAAACTTTGGAAAGATCAGAACCTTCTGTACAATTCTCTTCCTTATTTTTTTTTAAAGTGTAGTCATTAGCAATGAACCTTCCAGTAAAGACACGTGAGTTGTGCTGACCTGAAGAAGTCTGTAACCAAGGCTTTTGCAGCCTGCTCTGAGGTGTTGTGCTCTCCCTCCAGAGCCCAGATATTTGTCATTTATTGTGCATTTTGACTTGGTGACTGGTAGTTTCAATAATTTTCCTTCCAGGTGCCTACAATTGCTGCCTCAACTGAAGCTGAAGCCCGAATCTTTTGGCTTGGTCTCATCATCTGCCCCGTGATTTGGACACTGTTTCTCTTTAGCACCTTGTTCTCCTTGAAGCTGAAATGGCTGGTGAGTCAGGGGATAATGAAAGATCTACAGCTGGTAGAGGGATAATCCTGGTAGAGGGAAACCCCAGATCTGTTGGTCTTGAACCAAATCTTCCAACAGTACAAAAATCCCACCTACAGCTTCAAGGAACCCCAAGGATTTTTCTGCAGTCAAGCCCTGTGCTCTGGAATGGATTAGTAATTTTTAGCTGCACTTCTAATGGGTTATTGGATGTCAACTCCTTCATGTGACTGGAGAAGCTCAAGTGGTGGGCAAAATTTTGGCCTTCTTTTTAACTGTAGCAACTTACTCTTCCCCAACTTATTTCAGTCAAATGAAACTATTGGAAGAGTACAAAAAATGAGCTGGTGATGCTGGTTTTCAGGTTTTCAAGTCTCCTTGGGATTTGAATGCTACTTACTCTGAAAAGTAAGGATTTTAGAGCTCTGGTACCATTCCCTTTTGAAAGAACCAGCATCATTAGTGCTTAAAACCTTGATAAATGGAGCTATGAGTATGTATTTTATAATTACTCTATTTATAAGCCATCTACTTTCCAAAAAAAGAAAACCCAACACTTTTTCCCTAAATACAAGAGGAAATGTACCCCATATATTGCATTACGTTAAGGTATTTTTGTCTATGAAATCTTCATGTTTTCCCCTGCAAACATTAAGTGCTTGGATAATCACCACAGAATTCATTCTGTCACGTCCCCAGCCACGCTCAGGACCATTTCTTAAGTCAGTATGAAAAGATAAAAGGCACCTCCAACATGTGCAGCCACATCACCAGTTAACAGCCAAGACTACATTTTATTATTCGATTAAACAAGAAATGTAGCTGTGGGCAAATCATTAACTGCTTTTTGGTGCCCCAAATGGCACAGCTAAAAAAGCAACAGTTAAAATTAAACCAGCACTCTTTGTTCATGGCTCCACCTTTATTTTTGAAAACCAGAGATTGTTTGCTAAGCCAAGAACTGGCTGGAGACAGAACCCCAACTGGCTCTGAAGGCAGGTTGCTCAGGTGCTCATAAAAGGCAAGTTACACAAATGGAAATTAGATCCTTCCAGGAAACTGGTCCTGGGGCTGAGAAATACTTTTTGTAAGTTATTCCATTAGTCAGATGGATCCCACCTGCTGCCAAGCCTGTAGTACCACAAAAGGAGTCAGTTACTTTCACTGCTTATCAATGCTAGATAGGGATTCCTATCTAAGGATGCTCTTTGTAAATCCGTAAATTACAGGATCTTAGTTGTATCTAAGGCATTTGGCAGCTAACCAGGCCTGCAGTGTGCCATGCATCTGGATGTGAAACTTTTAGATACAACTCAGGCTTCAAAAACATGAAATGTTTCTGGAATCTGTTGATAAAGTCCTTTTTTGAGTAAGTGCTTTCAGGAAAGTAATGAAGTCTTTAAAGATACAGAATGACAAAACTGGTATCAGTGTTCTGATAAAAGAGGCATTTTGTATGAAGGAACTACTGTGTTTGACAAGATTGATTTCTCTTTGAAGGTCATTTATTATTGGAAGGACTATCCCTCTCTTACAGCACACATTTCTCCAGGTGGTATGTACAGGTACACATGTGTGTAGGTCCTACACGGTTGATATGTAGTGGTGTATTTGTCCCTGTTGAACTTCTGTTTGTCCACAGGCTCTCGTGATAGCTGGGATCTCCCTGCAGACTGCTAATTTGTATGGCTACATCCACTGCAAATTAGGGGGACAAAAAACCATCAGCAGAGTAACTTCGAGGTTGTTTGGCACAGCAGATGTTCCCCAGAGTGAGTACTGAGCTGTCTGTCAGCCACAGCCCGTGAGGCAGCACAGGCCAACCCACCTCTCATGGTTGGTTCTGGCTCTTCCCAGGTCTCAGTTCCCACAAGAACTCCTGGCAGGGTGATCCTGATCCTCCAACAAGCCTCTCTTGCAGTGTCACACAGAGGGGCCCTACCCCAGATCACTTTGCTCTGTGTTTAGAAGCCTCCTGAGCTTCACAACTGAGCTGCTTCCAAGCTTCAGGAAGAATGTCCTCTGAAGTGAAACCCTTGGAGTTACTGCAATTGGAATGTAATGCCTCTGCTCAGGCACAGCTGGGAGAGCCATCTTTAACCCCAGGCTTCCACCGGGCTCTTCCCTGCTTTTATAAAGACTCCCATGTCCCAGGTTCTGCTCACAGCCACGTGTCCTCTGTTCACTCTGCAGGGCAGAGCAGGAGGATTTCAGAAGATGGAACTGAAGAACATGGCAAGGCAGTCCCTAGGTAATCAAACAAGGAAGAACTCAAAGGATGAGCAGTAAAACTACTAATTCATGAAAGCTGTTCTTCACGTGAAGATATTTAAATAAACCTCTTCTAGAATTATGCCTGCATGAAATAATGTCATTTGTGTTTGAGTCTTTAGATCCTGAAAGGTTTAGAGCCTTTGTAACCTAAAAGCTTCCCCAAAGATGATTTATACAGAGCATGCTGCTTCCACAAAAACTAACCAGAAAGTGCTGGATTATCTTAGCCAAGAATTAAATGTAACGAAAAGACAATGCTAAGTTGTTTAATTTTGGAACTACAACAGACAAAATCAAACTGCCTTTCCCTCTTGTACACAATACTCACTTTTCAAAGCTTTGATTCCTCAATAAAAACAGGAATTACAATCCCAAAGGGCCTCTTAGTTATTAAAGATACTGAATGTTTATTTAGTATTGAGGCTCAGGGTCAAATAGAAGAAAACAAAATTCAGGGGGTATGTTCACACAGTGCCTGTGTGAAGCAGGCAGTTAGGTATTGTTAAAATACGTTAATCTTATTTTGATATCTGTGGAAAAAAAATAAATAAAACGCTGTACTTGTGCTATAATACTACACTGAATTTCACTCTAGAGATGGATCTCCACTGGAAGGAAAGACCCTTAAATGAAGTTATTCTGAGGCAGAACCAGGCATTACAGTTCATCCCAGCACAGCAGGCAGGACAAAGGCCTGCACACCACAGCAGCTACATTACACGATGCCCCAGGGTCAGCCCAGCATATTTTATATTCAACTGCCTGAACAAAATCTTGTTTTCCATGCCTTCAAATGCCAACTTCACAGTCAGGTTATTAGTACCACGACACCACTGGCAGAATGCACCTCTTAACCCATATGCAGATGCAGTTTCACAGCTTTCTAGCAAGGGAACAACTACAAGAATCCTGAACTATGGAAAACACTAAGGCAAGAACATTTATATTAAGAATTTATTTGCAATATACAAAAAGAATACATTCCTTCTATTAAATCAAGGTATAAGTTACTTTTCAACAAGAGTTACATTTTTTATTCCATTCACAGATTAGATCATCTTTTCTTCTTGAGAATGTTGTTGTTCACAGTACTCCTGAATTCCTGCAAAGACATGGAGAAAGTAATATAAATGGTATTTCAGCTGTACATCAGGAGTCTGTTGTTGCTGCATCACTGTATCCCCTGTTGGTACAAATATCTCAAGCTGGACCTTTATCACGGTGAAAATGGCCTCAGGAATTTCCCAGCTGTCTGCATTTTGTAACAGCACATCACCAGCTCTTTAGGTGGTTTTTGAATGGGAGTTTTGTGCCTTTACAGTTAGAAGTGGAGGCATAATTAGCCAGCTGCATCCCATGGGTTATGGAGAGCACCCTCCACAGGCCTGCTTGAGAACCTCAGAACTCTTCTGTGAGAGGAAGGGAACACATCTCTGCAAATGAATGACTGAACCAAACACAGAAGCCAGCTATCAAACACAATCTCCTCAGGGCTTTAAAAGCCTGTCAGAACCGATGCCCAGAAGCAAACGTGGTATTTGCAGCTGTTACTTTCAGAATTGCTATGCACGTTTCCTGTTTTATTATTTGTGGCAAAATAATCCTGTTTAACACCTTTATATATTGCAGCAGTGCTCGGAACCGAGAGTGCACAGTGATTCCCAGACTTACTTTGAATGATATTCCTGTAAGACAATGTAGCTGGAGAATCTGGTGCTTCGGACAGGAATGACTGGCCTCTGTCACAACTTCTTCCTTGAAGGACAGAGAAAAACACAAAAGCAAAGCAACAAGAAAAGATGAGCTTTTATTTTTTTTACCCTTTATCCCACTCCAGTGACACCCTTTCAAACAGCCACCTACATCTATTCCTTTTAGGAAGCCCTGATGTCAGTAATAGGACTACAACCACAGCTTACAGTTTTACAGAGGAATTGTGTTAGCAGAAACCTTCACTTGCTGTGTTGGGAGTACTGACCTGTTCCTTGATGTCATTAATTCAGGTATTAATTGTAACAGCTGGTGGAAGAGGAACCAAGACACCTCACAACCCACAACAGAATTTGGGCAGAATTTGTTAAGCACTAGTTTTAATGCTTAACATCTACAAGGTATTATTCTTTGAAGTGGTTATGATTTTATTCAGTCTGCATTTCCGGGTGATTGCACCAAAGAGAAAGACATGTTGTATTTCAAATATGATTACAGAGCTGAAAAGATGCATCATCTAATCTTAACTGATTAAAGTTTCAGGTTAAGGAAATTATCAGAGCACTTCCCTCATTCACATCATGCTATGTCACAGTTCCAGTAACTTTAGGTTCAAAAAAACCTTCTATCTAAAAGTGGATATTTACCTAAGAGACATCAGTGCCCACATCAGGCTTTTCCAGTAATAACATCAGTACAGGAGGAACAACTTGTTTTAGGTGCAGTGCAATAAATAACTTTACCTATCTGTGGATCTAGAGGCACTTTACCCAGGAGGGAAACATTCAAATTCTGGCACATCTTCTCTGCACCACCAGTAGTCGGGGGAAAGATCTGAGATTCTTTCTGGGACAACAGGAAAATTAGAGTTAAAAATACTGCAATTCTGAGAACAAGGCATTTTTGGAGCAATGTTTTATACACAGTGCCATGGTAAAAATGCTGTAACACCCAGACAGCCTTACCTTACACTTTGGACACACAAAGCCACTCATGTTTTCCACAACACCTATGATGGGCAGTTTCACCTTGTGGCAGAAGTTGATCTCCTTCCGAACATCCTGAAGCGAGATTTCCTACAAATATTAGCAAAGGCTCATATTTCAGTTGTCATGTTTTCATGCTGAATCAGTTCAGTTACCTCCTTAGAACTATTTTAAGGAGAGTTTATGATGAATTATTACTGCTGTCTTAATATTTTGAGGAACAGAAATCTGTGCTACGTGCTCTAGCAACAATTCTGAGGAGCAACAGAGCAGGTCCAACAGTTCCAGCCTACTGTATGTGGTTCTGTTTCAAAATCTGACCCTATCAAGATTCACCCACATTTATCTCCTATGTTCACCTCATATCTTCAGTTCTTTTAAGGCAACTTTTTCATGTTTTCAGTTTACAGAAGGACCCTTGTCCATAGAGCAAGGACAAGAACCACCAGGCTTACACTTGTTACGCCTTCCAAAATAAATTTGAAATATCTTGTCCTCAGGTTTTTTGCATATATGCTTGCCCTCACTCATTCTCCTGTTCTCTTCCTTCCCTCACCACCTCTCCAGTATCACTCTCACCACTTCCACTTCCTTTATGTGTTATCCTTCCAGCTGCTGTGGAAATACTACACGTCTGTTGCTCCTGTTCCTCTCCAAACCAGGCACTAAAACCTCTGTCTGAACTGGACATATTCTGAGTTTCAGCTTGCCAGGGGCTGATTTCTCTTTTAAAAATGCATATGACAAAACTGCCTACTGGAGGTGACAGGCTACTTCACAGGTGTCAAACAGTGCACAGCTTATCACTTAAAAACTAAACTTCTTACTGACATTCTTTGGAGCATTAAGCCATTGGTGAGTAAATTACAGATTCACAAGGATGTGAATTTTGAAGAAGTGAAACACTGCATTTCCTTTCACCACACAGATCACAACAGCTTTTAATTGTGAACTGCCCTGTGGTTTAGTGGCCCAGTGGGATCCCCAGCTCCACTGAGACACCCACCCAACCCACACGCCAGCACAACACAACCAAGTCAGTCCTCTGAGATTCCGTACCCTCAGGTTTCTCTGAAGTTCAACAGCCTCTAACCCCAGGGCTGCCTTTAACTTGTGAGTTGCCTCTCCACGGAAATGCATGTCCCATACCTGCGGGGTGGTGACTATGACAGCCCCATCGATGTGGGTGGCACTGAGGTACTGCACGATGGACAGGTGCTCGTCCGACGTCCCCGGCGGTGTGTCCACGATCAGGTAATCGACCTCCCCCCAGTCCACGTCACGGAGGAACTGCTTGATCAGCCCTAAAAGAAAGGATAAGAATGTGAAAAAAGAGGAAAAAAAGAATCTCCCCGTATTTCAGATTTTAGGGAGTACTTCTACTTCTGTAGCCCAGGCAGAAGATTCTTCTGACTTGTCCGCTTCGGGACAAAAACACGTATTTTGACAAAGCTTAAAAAAATACAAATAAAAAGACATCATCTGACCTTTAACTTCACCAAATGAGCATGTTCAACTAAAGAAATAATAAACCATTCACTCCTTTTTTCCTTATAGCTTATACTATATTTATGTTATTAAAAAAGGTCATGATATTTACATAATTGAAATCTTTTAAGTACATGAATCATTGTTGATACACACCATTTTTTTTTGGTCCTCTCCAGATGACTGCATCATCAGGGCTGCTAAGCAAGAACCCCACTGACATGACACCTAAGTTTTCTTCAACATACTGAAAGAGAAGCAGAGAAACAGAGCAGTGAAGAAAGAGTAAAGAAACCAACTCTGAAGCCCTATTTTATAGAAAAAGCAGCTGGAGGAGAAGACATTAATAAAATAAAGGCAGAGAACCTTATCTTCTATCACAGGGCATTAAAAGCTACAATCAAACTGAAAAAATGCAGCTGTTACAGCAGTTTATGGAACCACTGGAAACAACAAAAGGATAAAAACAGCTTTCCCTCTCAGCCCAAGCTGTCTTTTTAAGAGCACACTACAAGCTATCTCTTGCAAAACTCTCCCTGCATTTTGCAAAGATTAATGAGGTTATCCTTGTGTGCAAGGTACTTCTTGGCTGTCACAGAAAAAGTGACACACTACACAGCTGACTGATACCCCAAATAACAAAACCGAGGAACTTATATTTATATTTATTGCCTGCAGTAGGGAAATCAGTAAACAAGAGATACAGTATCACTATAATTAACAAAAGAAATTTAACACTCTGAACCTATAGAGTGTACATCCAGATTCTATAGTACCCGTAAATATATTCTATAGCATTCTCTGTATGTTCTGTAGAATCTGGATAAATATGAAATCTGGATAGAAAATCTGGAAACATAGAATCTATAGATTCTATATCCTGTATATGTATCTTGTATATCTTCTATATCTTGTATATTCTATATCGTGTATCTATAGAATCTGAATATTTAAGTAATTAGAAAAAGAACTAACAGAAGTGCCTCCTGCTTCTCCCTCACTCATTTCTTAACATAGAACACAGTGCCCAACCCAAACAAACCCAATAAACTTTCTGAAACAGCTGCACCAACTCACCACTGGAGACCATCCAGATCCACTCTGATGAACCTGAAAATTGAAGAGATACATAAAGTTATAAGAGAAATAAATACAGATGTTACACAAAACATGAACATAAGTCAAACCTGGGTAACAGCTTTCCTGCCTGCAGGGACAATCCTGCTTTATTGGGGTGGTTGAGGTAAAAACTGCAGGAGCACCAGATCTTCATCAGTAAGTGAACAATAACTGTTCAACCCTTATGCAAGTTTACCCATGACTTCGCATAGTTATATAAAATACTCGAGGGCTGATAAGGCCCATCATGATAATATTACTCAGGTTTTAAGCTATCACGAGTATGTGGACACTATGCAACGAAAGCTGTTTTGCAGAACTGCTCATCCTGAAGGCAAATGGCTCTTTTACAAAATAAATTATGCTGAACTCCTCCATCTCACCTTATTTCCCCACCCACTGCCACTTCCCAATAAACAATCCTTTACGAGCTTTCAGCCTACAGGGCCCACAGACGTTACTGAAACAATGAGCAGAAATCCTTTAAGCAACACGTTGGAGCATTCACTCACCTGTTCTCCTTCCAGACCCATTATTTTAGGGATCGATGGCCCGCAGATATCGATGTCCAGCAGAGCAACCTGGAAAACAAACCGGCCAACGCGCCCCACTGGAAACAAGGCGGCACAGGGCCGTCCCCCAGGGCGAGCTCACGCAGTGAGAACACCCTAGCGCGGTTCATGAACGAAGGCCAAGCCCTAACGAGCGGGGCACACGGCCGGTGCCCTCCCGTCAGCCCCGGGCCCCACCTGCTTGTGCTCGTCGGCCGCCAGCCCGTGCGCCAGGGCGGCGCTGAAGGTGCTCTTGCCCACGCCGCCCTTGCCGGACAGCACCAGCACCGTGTGCCGCACCGCCCGCAGCCGCGCCCGCAGCTCCGCCGCCTCGGCTGGGGGCGATACCGGGCCGTTAGAGCGGCCCCCGCACGGCCCGGAGCTCCGTCAGGGCCCTCGGGCCGCCCGGAGCCCCCTCACGGCCCCCCCAACAGCGCGGACCGCCCCAACTCCCTCACGGCCCCGACACTCACCCGGGTCCGGCCCGGCCGCACCGGCCGCGCACAGCCCCTGGTTGGGGCATCCCTGGCAGGCGGCCGCGCTGCCCGCCTGGGCGCTGCCGGTCCCCGGGCACTCTGCAAGGCACAGCGAGGGCTGTGGCGCGGGTGCGGCGAGCGGGGGGCCCGTCCCGGCCGAGCCGCTCTCCCGCGGGCCGCTCACCCTCCGGCCGCGCCGCTCCCACCGCGTCCGCCATGACAGCGCGTCACCTCCGCCCGCGGGGGCGGGGCCGGCGGGGGCGGGGCCTCCGGCCGCCGGGACCGCGCCGCCAGGGGGCGCTGCGGCGCCGCGGTGGCACCTCAGGGGCACCCGGTGACACCTCGGGGGGGGGGTCTGGTGACATCTCTGCGGGGACCCGGTGACACCTCGGGGGGATCTGGTGACATCTCTGCGGGGACCCGGTGACACCTCGGGGGGATCTGGTGACATCTCTGCGGGGACCCGGTGACACCTCGGGGGGGTTTGGTGACATCTCTGCGGGGACCCGGTGACACCGCCGGGGACCTCTGCTGACACTCCCGGAGGAATCCACTGACGCCACCGGGGGACTTCGGTGACACCCGTGGGGGCTCTGCTCCGGGGGGCTCCGGTGGCACCGCCGGAGGGATCCACTGACACCCTCTTCAGCCTCAGTGACATCCCTGGAGGGCTTCACTGACACCCCCGGGGACTCTGCTCCGGGGGGCTCTGGTGACACCCCCGAGCAGCCCCGCCCCGGGCTCACCGCGCCGGGGTCCGGCTCATGTCGCCGGTACCGAAGGTCCAGCTCTGCCAGCAGCCACCGTGGAATTTCTCCTCTGGGACTGCGTTAGGCAGAATAAACGGACCATTAATTGCACGGAGCCCTCCCGGTGCCGCAGCCCGGCTGGTCCGGGGTCCCGGGGCTGAGCACGGGGGCTCTGTGCCCGCACCACGCTCGGCCGCTGGAAGCAGCCGCGCTCCAGCGCTGAGCCAGCTCACAGCGCTGTACAGCTGCCAAGGACAGCGTGACACAGGAATGCACTTCACTGCTGCGTTTCACAAGTTTCATACCCAGGAAATTATGTATCATTCCAGTAAAATTGCGCTCTTGCGGTATTTCGTGTCAATTCTGAGTATATTAATTCTGTATCTTGCTGATAGACAGTTTCCAATAATTTAATGGGTACATACATTTGGAAGATTATTCTGCCTTAACTTGGCCAGTCAACTTCTGAGCAATCAGATAGTCACTGTGCTTGGTGAGTAAAAAATAATGAAATCAATTAATAATAAATTAATTTTCCAAACCAAAGTATGCACCAGCTTGTGATACAGGCTGGTCCCTATTCCTGGTGACCTTATCCCAGTTCCTGCTCCCTGTCTCTCCCCTGGCTGCCTTAGCACAGCCTTGTCCTGTCTTCCACTTGTAACATCACAGCTTAAGAACTGAAGTAGTTGCCAGTGTTGGTGATAAGTCTTGGTGCTGCTTGGGCTGGCAGTGCACCTGGCAGAGAGCTGTGTGTGTAACCTGACTCACCCAGACAGACCTGTTGGGGATACCCCACCAACATCCACCAAAAGGCAATTCCTACCTCAAAATGCTTCCAGTCTAGTCCAGCACTAAACCCAAGTCCCATATTTAGTCTTAAGAGGAAAAAAATGTTCTTACAAGAGCTTTGACAACCTTTTCACCTTTCCTTCATTTTCCCACCACTGTTAAAGTTCTCATGTCACAATGTTCAGAGTCCCAACCATAGGAGATGCAGCAAGAGCATGGGAACAGTTGGCACAGGAGTAAAGCTTTGGTGTCCAGAAAAATGCATCAAACAATGTGACCACTTTGCATTGGAAAAATGCACACAAAAACTGAATGATGGTCCACCTAGAAAACAAAAACCCCACCAAACCAAAACAAAAAACAAACCTAGAAAAAAATCTGAAAATACATTTCATTAAGGTAATTGAGGAGCTTGGTCTGTTTTTTTGCTCATTAATAAATAGGCTATTACCCATTTCCCATTTCAAGTGTATTTACCCCAGGGAAATGCTCATCACCCCTGGATACTTGTACAGCTCCTGAACTTCCTGCTCTGTAATTTCCTTCTATGGGAAACTAATGAAAATGTTACGTGGAAGTGGAGCCAAATGTTTAACCAAATTCAAATGTCTGTGGTGGGAGGAAAACTGGCCAGGAAGACATATCAGAAATTTATACTGTACCTTGCCCATGAAAAATTTGGCTCTGTGTAAGACCACAGCCCCGTATGGCACTTTAGGTCTGTGCTTCCTGTCAAACATATGGATTAGATTCACTGATGTCTGCAGGACTTTCCACAGATTAAACTGAGGTACGTGTTCAAATATCTTTCTTTTGGGGCCAACTGTTTTTTTTCCTGTCCCCAAAGTTATAGAGAACGTTCCCCACAAAAAGCACCAAAAAGGGGAAAATGAATCTCTTCCTTAGCACCCCTCTTGCTCTGAGCCAGCAAGGGCTCCTTGTGCAGGGCTCTCTGGGTGAACACCAGGCCTTGGAGTGCTCAAGCCAGGCTGAGCTCAGCCCAGGGCTCTGCCAGAACTCTTGCAATCTCATGCTCAGCAATAACTTTACCCTCCTCGGCAGCTGCTGAGAATTAGTTCCATCAGTTATTGCAGGAGGAGGGTTTTTGTGTGTGTGTGTGAGCATTTGCAGTATCAATCTTACCCTGTTTACACACCCTTGTGTGTGGCTCCACTGCTTGTCCCTCACTGCCCTACAGTTTATTTATGTAGGTTTTAAACATCATGAGAAGATAAATTTAACTGACAGTGACAATTTCTTTAAAATTATCTCTCCTTTTTTTCGCTGGGTAACGTCCTGCAGCTTTCTGAGACAAGATATGCTGTAGCACAGTGTGTGTATATATATATATATCAACAGAGATGTACAGCATGCCCTGGAGAAGGATCTCTCTGACAAAAACTCAGCCTATTTTATTGATGAGAAGTGCTTTAACCTGAGGAACACATTGGACAGCATCAACTTTTACCATGGAGTGGAAAAAGCAGCAGAGATGTGAGTACGAGTGGCTACTGCAGCCTTCACTGTGTGTACTCCCTGCTGTAAGCAAGAACCTGATTCAGCCCAGGCCTTATCTTTGAGAAGTGATATAGAAAAAAGTGGCTTCTCTCTCCTCAGGGCCCTGTTTTTCCCTGGTGTGAGACCCTCCATCATCATCCTGGGTCCTGGTTACAGCTCTGCTGCAGTTGGCTCCTTGCCCTCAAACTCCATTGTGCAGGGTCCCCCCTTGTTTTGATTTACACTGTTCTGTGGCTTTCAGGTTTCAGAACCACGTCAAACCAAATAAAAATTCAGCTGAGGTGTGCAGGTAAGTGCAGCAAACAGCACATAAATGTTCACCAGGGACTAAATATACTGTCTGTGAAAGAGCTTGGGTTGTTGTGAAATTAGTCCATTTGGCACAGCTTTAGTGCTACAGACTGAAAGAAAATTACTGAACTAAAATGTCTCAATTGCAGGCAGTTTTCAAACTGTTTATTAGCAGTGTCCTCATCAAGCCCTGCATCCAATCCAAGTGCAATAGCAGCAGCAGAGCATCTTGCAATAGAGGGCAGTGTTTTTGTGCTAATGACTTGTCAGTTCCTTTATCATTAACATAGCAGTGCTTGAATGGTGCATGTACTTCACAATCTCAAATGATAACGACTCTGTCTTGTTGGAAGGAGAAAAAAAAATCAGTATTATTTGTTTACTTATGCTCTGCTTTTCATTAAAAGATCACCTCATTCACTACCGAAACGAGGGCATATCCGAAGGAAACTTGGCAGGCATTCTGCTGACTCCAGTAACACTACCTACTTTTAGGATCAGCAATGAATAAAATTATTCTTGCCAGCTCTAGTAAAAAGCAGATTCATGTGGATAAGTTTTGCAGCCCTTTTCCTTTCTCACCATCCATTATCCAAAGAAACTACATTCTTCACTAATGTTTTCCTGAAACCACTTGGCAGTCTGAGACATACCTGCAGCGCTCAGGAGCAGAGCAGGTGTTTTCTGCCTCAGTAGACCCAGATGGATAAATTACAACTTGAAAAAGCAATGTTAAAGAACAGATTAAGTACTAAGTATTTCAGATAGTCAAGGTGGAAACCTACTTGGAAATTCAATTTTCTGATGAGAAGATGAATATAATCCATCAGATCGTAGAGCAGGAAAAAAATCCCAAAGCAAATATCCTGCAGAAAATACACCAAGATTGCCTGGATCAGAAGCTGTAAGCACAGGTTCTGTAGACTGACTTATGTACTTTACTATCAGGTTGGTTGCCTGAAACTTTTCAGGGCAGCTGCCTAAATAAGTGTGCAGCACTAAGGAATTCCAAATCATTTAGGAAGATCGGTACTTCAGTTTGGAGACAGAGGAATACCCTATGAAAACCTGAAGAAAGGCTACTGAGAAAACAAGCACTGACAGAAACAAAATTAACCTTTTCTTTTTGCATCCCTTAATATTTACTCCCAGGGTTCAATTGAAATTTAGAGTAAGTGTGGAAGCCAAAATATAGTGATATATCCCTGCAGAGTTTAGAATACAGGCAAAATTCTTAGAAAAAAAGTTTTGTGTTGGGAAAGAAGTTTAAATGCAGACAGAAGTTTGTCTTAGCCTTTCAGTTTGGTAAGTAAAATATCTGTACTTTTCATAGAACACACTAAATACTTGGGTGAAGAGAGGAGTGATCTAGCAGGCTAAGCAAAGCATTAAAGAAAGTGGTGAATTTAACTCCAAAGACAGTAGTTTACACTGCAGCAGCAGTTTTGAAGCCAGAGGCTCAGGCTGCAAGTTATGTTAAATTCCTTACAAGTGTTTCAGTTCCTGCAACAAGTTCCTGGGCTAAAGTCAGTGGAGACAATATCAGGTGCTCTCAACATGCAGGGGCCAACTCTGTCCTGCCCTGAAAGGATGCAGAGGCTGGACTGGAGTGCACATCTGAGGAGATGTGGAATCATTTATCCAGCATTAACTTAGCCTTTAATAATCATGTTGCTGAAGTATCTGATGCAAAGAACAAACTCCAAGCACAACTGGCCAAGGTAAGATTCACTAAGAGTTGGCAGCTGCATATTATTATACCCAAAAGGCATAGAAATGTTCTCTGGAGTTTACATCCTCCCTGAATAAGCACCTCCTCAAAGGATAGACCTGTATTACCTTTCCTGGAGCTGCACTTGACTCACACACGGCCTGAGAAGAGTTTGCTCACAGACAGATGACAAAGTTTCACAGGAAACCTTAATCACACACTGATTATGTTCATTTGCAACTCACATGTTTAAACTGGGGAAAGACATCTTAGATAGCATGTTTTTGATGTTACATTAATTGGTGATACTCCCTGTCCATGTTCTGATACAGAAATAGTACACTAAATTTTATTTTATTTTTAAACAGTGAATGAACTTTGGAAAGCGTGCAAATAAAAAGGCCCACAAATAGCACATTTATCTGTTTTAGAGGAAGAAGATGATTAAGTTTTTGCATTTTTATTTTGAAGCAGCCAGGGGAGAGCCCTAAAATAACTAAAATGTAGAAGTATTTACATACAGAATGTCATTAGTCTGTCCTTGACACCTAATTTCCAAGTTTTCCTTCCCCTTTCATAAACACGTTTCCATATCTTTGGCCTGAATGTTGGCCTGGTTCTGGACAGAAACAATCTCATATTTCCAAGTGGGTCACAGTAAACTTTTCAAACATTTGTTCTGCCTTTGTCCTCCTATTATACAAGGCAGAAGTGGCTCAGAAGAAGACAGACCTGTATCAGTCTCTGTCTGTAATGCCTTTTCAGCAAGTTTTCACTAAGTCACAAGTGCAAGTGTATTAGTTGAGTTTTGAAATATATATTCTGAAGTTGACCTGAAGGTTAACTTTATACTGACAGATAAAAATCTTGTTAAGCAGCAAGACTCACTGTGTTACTTTCATATGGCTTCAGTCAGAGTTCTACTGTAAGGTCTTTAAGGTCTTCCAGTAAGATTCTTTCTCTTATAGAGCAGGCTCACATTTACTCATTTTTTTTCAATGCACATTTGGAAACAATAGAGTTTTCCTGCCATTCTACTTGTCATAAGTAGTTTAAGATGTTTTCAGTTTATTTTTAGGGACTCTTAGGAAAGTGCAAACTAACCACCTAAATAAGTGTAAGCTCACAGCACAGCACTTAAATACATGTTTATTTGGGTTTTTCTTTCCTCCAATGCCTACAAAACATGAAAGATGTAGTTTTTTGTGTATTTTAAGTTGTATATGGTCTGGCCAACCACAGCACCTTATCCCTAAATTGGCCATCCATCTTAGTTTCCCATGGATTTACAGGTAAGAACATTTGCTTCACATTTTCCATTGGTATTTTCTACTGCTTGAAAGTGCCCTTTTTATAAAATAACTTATGGCCTAAGGTAGGACAGGGTGCACATATGGGATCACAAAGTGCATTGTGAGATACTGACACACGAGCAGGGGTTTTGTCATGGAGTCCAGCTGACACTGGGACATAACTGCTGACAACTGGATTATAATGGAAAAAACAAGAGTTATGTCCCTATGCTGTCACACCATTAAATAGCAGTAATAAGCTACCTGGAGAAACTTGAGTATTTGTACAAGGAATAATTAATTTGTGTGGTATACATGGATAAAAAAGTCAAGATTGAATTCTATGAACTAATGCTGCTGTTTCTGCTGAGTTACCAGTTAGCACACACATAGCAGAGATACTTTACTCATCACAAACTCCATAGTAATGTAGTTACATCAGGATAACGAAATGCTGGAGGGGAAGCAAACAGCATGTGCTGGTGAGGAGGAATTCAGGCTGGTCAGTGTTGGCAAAGGAAAGGAAAATACAAGAGGTTCACTGAGCAAAAACACTGCTGGTTAAGCTCTGGGTGAAGTTATAGGGTAGAAGTGCTGTTAATTCTCACTCCTGACCACAGAGGAACCAGAGGAAGGAGAAGGCAAGGGAGGGCAGAAGTGAGTATGGATGAGTGTCCATCTAACAGGTATCTATCAGCAAGCCTTTCTTCTTTCTCCACTCTGTAATAAACATTGCTGGGTTATGCTTTAATACAACAGCCATTGGCTTAATTCTTAAATCCTACCAGAAATCTGTTCTTCCACTGGGGTGTGATTATAGTCAATGCAGCTACTACAGCTCCTCTTTCCTTCTCATCTAATAGCAGTGAGACAATGGGTGCCACAATTTTGGGGTTTATGTTTAAAAAATATCAGTCTTTTGGTTTTGCACTGATTTCCTCAAGCAGTGAATGACACTCTCTGAGACATCCTTCTTTCTGACAAACTATTTTCCTAGCTAAGCAGGGTAGCTCTCATAAAATGAGAGAAAAATGTCAGGAAAATTAACGTAGAAATGATTTGCTATCTTGAAAGCAGGAAAAGCTGTTATTTTAATGAGGTCTGGAGCACATTTTGGAATGAAAAATACTTTTCTGATTTGTGAAACAGCAAAATCTTTTCCAGATCAAAACCAACCCCAAAACAACATACAGGGAACCTCCTGCAACCATTTGTTTCTAAAATCAGTACTCTTAAAGGGGAAAGAGTAAAAAAACTACATGAAAGAGTAAATAGTGGGAATATGGTGACGATCTAAAAATGACCTTCTGTTGAAATGGCACGTTTTCTTCTGTTTATATCCCTGGCACATAGAAGCCTATGATTAATTTATCTTACTTGATTCTGGGCTTAATCTTGGTCATAATAATGTGAGTTCATCCAGAATTTGGATAGTGGAACACTGGAACTATGAGGTGCTGGAGGCAGAAGCCCAGAAGCCCCAGTGAGGTATTTGGCAAGAGTTAGATCACAAGCCAAAGAAGGTATTACAGCTCCACTGTATTTCATCACCACTGGGCTCACAGAGCTTGTGGTTATTTGGGGATGCAAATATTCTGAGGAGTCTAAATCCCAACATATGACTCTGGTCAGGCTCAGAGCTGCTTTAGGACCACATCTTTAGTCTGGTGAACAGAAAATACAGTGTACACAGCTCAGTGTAGAAGAGGGTGCCTCAAGAAACAGTCTGTGCCAAAAGACGTTACGATAAATATGTTTTACATTTGGTGTAAAAAGACACAAATCTTTAGGAACAGAAGGAAAACCTCCAGTTGTGGTGCCTGCTCCCTTTAATACGTTTGTGTCTCTTTTCCATAAAGTGAATATTAACATAAATAGTTACCTTGGCTTCAGTCTCCTGGAAATAGCCAATGGGGCAGGGTGTTTATGTACATTAGCTCTGGGAATCAGTCAGACCAGACAGCAAGGGACATATTTACATAGTCCAGTATTTACACCCTATCTAAACAGAAGATCGTCCCTGCCAGCTCCAACACCTGCTCAGAAGTGTTCCTGTGCCTGGGGGCAGAGTGCCCAGCACCACCCTCCCTGCAAGCCCTGCTCTTCCCCTGGAAGCACAGGGATCGGAAGGATGTTAGAAAAACAGGTACATGTTTAGTAAAGCCATGAAAAAGCAACCACCCACTCCAATAAACAAGTCACCGTGGTTCTGAGTATTTCCACTCAATTCACTGGCAATGTGTGCTTTTAGAAACAGCTCCATTTTGTTGGGGAATTTTTACCCCTGGGGTGTGAAAAGGCATTATATTATATCAATGTAGGAGGGAAAATAACTCTCACTTTCCTTTCTGCCTGGTGTATTTTTACTCTTTACCTGAAGAACCTACAGTCTTTTGTTTTAGTAAGTTACTGCCTCAGAGTCTACATCCTTCCCACATTGTTTTTATTAAATTGATTTATAAATTTAAGGTAAAAAACTTTCTTGTCTTAGCAACTATTGAGTATGCTTATACGGTGCCTAGAAGAATTGCATACATTTTATATTTACACAGCTTTCTTCTAATTCAAGGGAGAGCCTACTTAATTTTACAACTAACATTCAACAAAGAAGGAAAGTCAGGAAAACCTCAGTGGCAATAATAGCAGAAACTGCCTCCCAGCCTCAAACTTCTTATCTAAGGTCTGAAAGGAGCCCTCCTACGGCTTTTGCATAGGACATAACCTGTTCCTCCGAATGGGAATAAATAAATACCAGAATTCCATGGGAGGTGCCCACGCAAGGAGCACAGAGAGGAGCAGCAGCATCGGGAGCTGTGGGAGGACATGCTATAGGAGAGGGAATACTTTCCCTCTGGCACTTGTCCCACAAATCCTTTCATCTCAGACCTCAATCTATCCTCCCATAACTTTTTAAACATATTTTTGTTGATTTTGTTTCTTCCTCTTCCTCTTTTGATGCTTTAAAATCTCAGTTATTTACAGTTTCTCATGCCCATTCATGGTGCCCATGAGTACAGTTAATCTCAGAATCTAATATTAGAACTTGTTTGAGAGTAATGTTTTCGGGTGATTAGTGAAGGGTGACTCAGAAGTGGTTGGGAAGGTGTGTGCTGCTTGGTGGGGACAGCTAAAAATTTTCTGGAAAAACCTGTTTGAAGGAGGAAATAGTTATTTAGGAATAGACTTTTGCCTCCAAACCAAGGGAAATTACAGATCTGAAGTTAAGGCAGTCATTTGAAGGCAAAACCAGATTTATCGCTCTCCTAAAATGGTTGCCTTATCTCATAGGGTCAAAAAGACTTGCACAGAGTCCATCAGAGTATGAACTATGGGCAAGTGGAGAAACAAGAACGTGTCTATGACATGACAGTAAAAACTGTCAGGTCCAAATTAATTTCAGATTGAAGATCTGGGTTGTGCTTGTAATCCAAATATTGCAAGATAGCATAGTTTTACTTTGAAATAATGTGGCATATATAAAAAAATTAATTGTGAAATCAGTCATGAGGACACTATTCAGTTAAGTATAACTTGAACAAGTGTTAACTTTTACACTATAATTTAGGCGAAATGTGGAAACATGGATGAAAAGGGTTTAGAAAAACTAACTGAGAGGCAAAATATTAAAGAAGTTTATGAAATGAGGAGGCACAAGTATGTTCCTCCCGCCACATTACTGCTGTTTTTGCTGCTGCTTTTTGCATCCAGATAGCAACCACTGAGTTAGCTTAACCTCAGAAACAACAAAGAAACAAGGTCAGGCTTCGGCATTTTAAAAATGCTTATGTTGTACCTAAGACTACCCTGAGTACGTGATGAAACATGTGGGACTACTCTCGGTCCAGCTAATCCAGCCTACAGAAACCATGGCCTTGGTAAAATGAGTGGCAGGAGCAGTTTTGTCCATGCTCACAGGAATGCTGTGCACAAAACTTTACTCATGTCCTGGAAGGGGAAAGTTTCCGGATGTGCAGCTGCCGGTGCCCCACCAGGCTCTCCTAGGAACACGCTGCTCAGCATTTGTTGTTTTTGCTTCCTGCCTTTGGAGGTCATCCAGGAATGACGTGGGCTGGAGCAGCTCAGTCTGGTGATCCTCCCCACCAATCCCTTCATGTACAGCACATTCTTTAAACCATTCCATCCAATGTGTGGCCAGAGTGAGTAATCGAAAACTGTTTGCACAAAGCTCCTGTGATGCACTGGAGGTGGTTCCCCTGAGGCCATTTTTCTTTGTATGGCTTAAATGCCAGTGATTTTTTTTGGAAAAAAAAAAATAAAAAAAATTTGAGAACACACAAGGAACCTAAACCACATCCAGCAAGGCATAAAGATGGATGTATAATTGCACATTTGAATTTTGAGTTCACAGGCAGGCTTAAACAATATTTTTTTTTAGCGAATGAATGAATGAGGGGTTTGCTCAGTAGCACTAATCAGCTGCCCTCCTCGTGTTTAATGTGCTTGCAGACATTTTCTTGCAGAAAACATTAGTTTCCTCCTCTTCTCGAATCATATTAGAACAATTAGAAGTAATTCAGTGTAAGACAGCCTGCAACCTAATCCAATTCACCAAATAAATTAAAATAATAGACTCATACCATCACAGTACCAGCACAGTGACTGCATGACACACTTACTGTAACACTTGCACCTGTGTGAGCTGTGGCACTGCTCTGGCAGCTGGTTTCACTGTCATGCTTCACTGCCAACCAAGTGCTCTAGACTGCTTTAATTGTATTGTTTCTTTGATAGAATTGCCCCACAGAGTTGAATCACCATTTCCAACTGCTGCTCAAGAAAGTGTTACTACCAATAAAGACCAAAGTCTGAACCACAAAGGTCCTACCCAGGATCTGGACCAAGAGAAATCCTCTGCTCCACCAGAAGTGGAAAACATGTAATCCACTCAATGCTTTCTGAAATTGAGACATGATTGTGCCCAGTCATGAACAGTGAACAGTGGGAGCAACAGATGGGACTGACAGGGTTGTAAACCTGTCCCCAAGTCACATCTGCTTCATCACCAGCACTGCCCAGGAGCTGGACTTCACCTTTGCCACCTCCAGATGAACACACAACATAAAACAATAAAGTTCTGACATCAGTGCAAGCTACTCAAAGTCTGCTTCTGAGCAGCAGAAGACCCAAATCCTTGGTGCTTTCAGGGAAAAGGAAGGATGTGGGCTTGATGCATAATGAAGATATTTAATGTCATTAAGTCTCTTTCTGTAACCAGTAAAACTGGAGATAAGATGTAAAATGATGTATCCAACAATGCACTCACCATAAGTAGTTCTGCTGCAAAACAAGTAGCTACCAAAGTGCACTGAATTACCTACATAAATATTTCCTCTAAATCACAGCTAGCTTACAGTGAGTATCTAATTAAGAAGGAACCACTGCAGAATTAAATTACAGGGGGAAATTTACTGCTCTTACCTTCACTTTCTTCCATACTGAGTTCCCTTCATAACAAACCAGATTTTTTTCTCTTCAGTCTATAATCAGTAAAGGCTCCTTTTTGGGTGAAGATGCTCTCAAGCTGGCTAGGTGTTGAGAAACTACCTGTGAGGGCTCAGTTCAACGTGGAAAAGTGGCTCAAAATGTTCAGTCATGTTCACACGCTGCTGCTTTGGGGTCCAAAGGGATTCATCCACTGCAAATCTGCCTTGCTGTAAGGGTTGAGCAGGTTTGGACAGTGTTAGCCAGGAGATCTTCCACATTGCTCCATGTACAGTGTCAACAATCCCTTAAGGATCTGGACTGGGATGCAGGTTCTTGGCATCCTCACCTCTTTGGGTTTTGTCCATAAACAACGTTTCAGCAGCAGGAACTATTTCAATTTTCAAACCACACACATCATCAGCAAATCTGATACAACTTAGTGTGTAGACAAGATCTAAATGGCACCATAATTTAAATCACATTATGCCACTTTTAGTGGTTGTTGAAATTCAAGTTGCATTGATTTTAGCAGACTGGCTGAGAAACTGTGTTATTTCAATTTGTCCTCTTCCACTCTAAAACTGTCTACAGGAAAAGCTTAAACAGATTTTCCACACTGAATCTGGATAAATGAGAGTAACATAATAATCATTTGGTTAGGAAATATAAACAATTTCCCTCTTCTTTCTTTTTGAAGACTGAACAAAACTTTTGCCTTGCGATTTCTCTCTCTTTTTTCCCATACACAAATTAAAACATACAAGAAGCACTAGAGGATTCTCAGGGATAACATGATTATATGATAACATGCACTGCAACTGAAAACTGTGCTATACTCATTCCATGGGTCTTTCCTTTTTGGTGATGTTTACTCCTTATCTTCTCCATTTACAGAAAATAACTCTTCAAAGGAAGTTAGTCTTCCCTCTACAGCTCCCATGGAAGTTTTCAAAACTTTGAGAATTTAGTTTCAGTAGGGAAATGTAACCTGTGTTCATATGTTCTTGCAGCAAATGTCCCCAAAATACTTGGAGTATGAGACCATTTCTAAGGGGACATACTTGATTTTGAATTTTTATAAGGCAAAAGGAACTAAGAATTGAATGAAGGTTTAAATGAAAATGATAGTTTATTGGAATTTACCTCTGCAAAATGTTCACAGATGAAGCAGCAGGTTTTTTTACTTAGAATAAAAATTAGACAGCGAAGCAAAATGGAAAGAGATCCCTGTACAGTTATAAACACTGCCTCTATGAAAATGGCTTTATCACAAAAGCATGGTTGTAATTGCCCCATTGCTATAATTCACTGCTTCTCTTCTGGTTGTCATAAACTTATATTCCAATTTGCCTATAAATTTCATAATTTTATAATATGAAAGAAATGGTGCATTTCTTAGTGGAAGTTGTTCACTTGTTTTCCAGGAACAACTTCATTAAATGCTTTCATGTGATGTATGAGTGCAAGGCCTCCTCCTTCTGGCTCTCCTGAGAGATTTATGTCCTTTTAGAGAAATGGCAAGATCAAGCCAATGTTACACAAATCAATCTGATTGATGTGAGATTATAGTAAACTCCTCCCCTAAATTGACCAAAATGACATTCCAGAATGGGAGCAGTTCCAACAGGAGTGTTTAAAAGCAGGGGTGAGTTCTGACCTTACATGTGTGTGAGGTTTACACAAACATTCTGCTTTGTTCAGATGCTTCAGGAAATCTTCCAGACAGAAGCTACAATCATGTTACTGGAGAGACCCTAAAGACAAAGGAGAACCCACTGGAAGTGACTCAGACCTGCCTGCAGGGAAGAATGAAATGACCCAATAACGGACTTTGCTGTGATGCATCTCAGTTTCAGTAAGGAAAGGCCAGACTGCTCCATCTCTTCCTTCATCAGCCACTCAAGAACAGGGAATTCAGTGACAGTGTGAATCAGTCTGATGAGATTAGTGTGGCATTCACCACATTGGGATTCAATTCCGGGAGGACAAAAAAGTAAAATCCAAGCAGCTGCATTGAAATAATGGGCCAAAACATCAACACGAGTAGTTGCCTTTAGAACTCCAATGTGTGTAGTTATCTTTAGAATCCCTCTGCCAGGACAGTTAAGAGTTCAATTGCTTTTGGTGGTTGATTTCTTTTGGGATTCAGTTAGGACTTAGGAACTGATTTTAATTCCATCCTACAGAGAACAAGATTTCACTTTGGGAGATACCTATTTTAGGAACATCTGAGACAAAAGTCTGTCTTATGAGGCAAAAAAACCCTATCTGATCGTCAGGCTCCTTAAAAAGTTAATAGCAAACAGGAATGAGGCAGCATGTCTTACTGGCTCGACTAATTTCCAACTATATGGTGGCTCCAGTACAGTCTTGGTACAGATTAGCTCATTTGGCATATATTTTGGCTATAAAGTGGGGGGGCTTTGCTGGCATCAGCTTGGTGATCCCTGTGCTGTGATCCTTTGTGTCTTTCTGGATAGATGGGAAGATGTCTGAGATATGAGTCAGCCTTCCCTAATGACTGAAGGGTCTTCTGAATTTTAATTGCATTTATCTCCTTCCAATCCAGTCAGAACATGTCAGTGTTCCAAAAGAACACTGTCAAGTATATCTTCTTTAAAATACTGTTGTCAAATTGTTCTGTGGGGGTTTACCCAAGAAATTCTTCTCACAGCTGGAGTGAATTTCACAGTCTAGTAAAAGAATTTTGCATATTTTAATGAAAAGTAGAAAATTATTCCCTTTTCATTTTTGTCTCTAGCAAAACCCTACTATACACAACAGCTTCACATACAATGAGATTAATGAAGTACATAATGCTTCAACTGAGTATATTATTTTTACTAAACTGTTTTATCAGCTCAAAAAGCTTCTATTCAAACAAGGAAGTGGCAATAAATCATAGTTTATTGTACTGACATCTTTTCACTTTTTCTAACTCCTTAAACCATAAATGTAGAATGTAATGTATCTCTTTTTTTTAGCCTCATACCTCCTTAATAGGATCCTGACATTTCCTTTGGCGCATCCATATTTCTTCAACTTCATGCTCTGCTCTCCACATCTATTCTGTCACAAAATATTGGTTTGGATCCAAATTCTTTTATACCCAATTGGATAGTTTTATTCACGTGGCTTTTCATATCACATAAATCAGGCCTGTTCCAGACACAGGAGTTCAGCTGCAAGAAACCAGAAGAAGCTTCTGATTACACTGTAGCATTCACTTAGCAGCTACATTTATTATGGCAGCAGATAATTTGTCACTTCTGTTACTGCCACACCATCAATTAGGCAGGCATGTAAGACAGTATAATAATTTTATTAAAATCCCCCAACAAATTGAACAAAGCAAGATGGCCTTAAATATTAATACACAACTTTCAGACTCTGAGTTTTGTGCTCTACATCCTCCCTGAAGATCTCTTCCACAAAACTGCAGCATTAGGATTGATATCAGTCCTGTCAGCAGGATTGCAGGCATCCAAGGTACAAAACATGTTTCATTTGGCATCAAAAATGCAGACTGTCACATTATCCCTTTTTCTTCCCACAGCTGCCAGTCATGCTGTTGATGTTCCAAAGGGTCCTGTCTAAAAACAATTTGGAAGCTTCATTTGAAGTCTCTCGAACACCAGAACGTCTGTGCATTTTTCTTCAATTAGAGTGAAAGGACATTACCATGACATACTCAAAGCCCAGAAGTACACGGGGGTTCTGAATCAAGCTAACTCCTGGTAGCTCTGAAGTGAGAGCTTCATAGACTGTCACACAGATATTCAGAAGTATTTTAGGCTTAACATACATGCAAGTTTTCTAGTTTTCTGTCAGTCTAATATGATTCCCACTATTTTAACCCAAATGTTTTTACAAGTACAATGTTTACTAGATGTAGTTATCTTGACAGATAATTAACATATACTTGACAGATAATTAACATATCCTTCCTCCAATGCATATAAATTTTACTCTACCACAGCTCCCTAATCCAGACCAAGTTATGTTGGACGCTGTGGCTGATTAAAATTATTGAATGGTTTGTTCATCAGAACTGCAATTAGAAATAGAAATTCTGACAGGGATTTTGAAATTTGGACAGTTTTTTTCCAGCACTTTTTTGCTTGAGCTCACGTCTCAAATAAAATGCATTTTCTTACAGAAAAAATCCTATCTGAGAAAGTAAAACCATTTGCTACTTCACTTTTAAAAAATTTTTTGCTTTTAAATAATTTAAGTGTATTTCTCTCATCTGGTTTAAAGGAAGAAGAATTCAGCCCAATAGCTCAGCTGCAATAGAGAAAGAAAACATCAAATGAACCACTTCTTTGTAACATGTAAATGTTATCTGAGTTGCTGTTTATTTAAAAGGAAGTGCTGATGTTGGCATTTGTTCCCTGTGTGTGCTGCCAACTTTGTAGTTGGAGGGATTAGACAGAAAACAAATTAATAAAGTCTAGTTTTTCTGTGCTTAAAAAATTGGGACTATCCTAAGATGAGTTAAATAGTCTCTGGAAAAATCAATCTTTCTTATAGCCCATAGTGCATGGAGCAGTTTACCAGCTCAGTGACTACACAAGATTTGCCTCATGTCCATTGACAAGCCATGGGAAGCAGCGTGGCCAATATCAGCTCACAGAACATCTTGATTTCAGAGCCCCACATTCAGTGGTTGTTCTGGCAAAGTGGTTCTGATTAATGTGCTTCTGTGCCAAATCTGGACCATTCAGCACATCCTGCCTTACCAGCCTAAGCTATCATGAACTACCCCAACACTCTCTAGTAACATCCATCCCAAATGGATTCTACAGTCATTATGCTCCCAGAGAGGCTGCACAAACGAGAGGCTGCAAGTGAATACAGCAATTAGATATATCAGAGGGGCTTAATCCACTGCTGAAGGTCAACACAAGCAAGAAAGCATCACTTCTTACAGGTGCTGTGCAAGTTAGTTTGGCAAATAGGTTTCATATTGATTCAGTCCAAGACAGCTGTACAAATCCTGCCTGAAAGTGTGACCTGTCCACTTTAAAAACCGGAATGGGGTGAGGGACAGCTGAAGTTATGTGAGCAACCTGTCCCCTTATCTTTTTAAGGGCCGCTGAAGTTTCCACTATAGATAACAACATACAGGCCTTCAAGTGATGCCTGCAAGAAGCACATGACACTCTGCAGTTACTGATCCTCCACAAATCAGTGCCAGAAGACAACATTTCTGTGAAGGCAAACTCCCTTTTCATTGACAAGAAGTGTACAGGAACATGATGTTCTTAAAGTGCTCTGAAATTGTCCTTCAGTCTGTAATCAAGACTGCTCAGGTTTCTAGTTCTCAGTGGGGCACTACCTTGTGGGATGGACAGGAGAAGGATTGCATAGGCTTTGAGATCTGACTTTTCTGGACGACAGTTGAAACATATTAACAGTGCAGTAATCCTGGTAAAGGATTAGAGGAAGAACTAATGATAAGGCAGCACAGCTGTTTTGGACAAAACGGAGTAATAAAGTTCTACTGTTATTTGTACTTCTTCCTGGATTTACTCACACTAATTTACAGAGTAAGCAGCAAACTATGGTTCCAATAACTGAGCTGTTCCCTGCCACCTCAGGGTCCTCTCTACAGGGCAGCTCTAGGAACACACAAAACGCATTTTACGCTGAACAGAAGCCAAATCCGAAACAATGCTAGATCTGAGAGGCTCCTGAATAAATTGGCTGTGTTCCTTCCCCTTTGTTTTGTGTGGGTGGTGGCCCAATGTAGCTACCAACACAAGTGCCCTTGCAGAGCACACCCGCCGGGGCTGTCAAGGTGGGCTGTGGCCCAGACATCCCCCACACAGCTTCTCTCCTTCAGGTAAAAAAGTAATCTCTCCTGGCTGTTGTGTCAAAGCATTCACACACAGATAACGTCTCTAACGATTTTAAGTAATGGGAAACCATTTTGGAACACGAGATTGGGAAGTGACATCCAAGCCTGTTTCTGATACCTGTTAAACCCGTGTCACACTGACTGCTCTGCACCTGGATTTTCCTCAGGATGATGCCACGGTCATGAGGTAGATGCCTATGGAGAGGGCAGGCTGCTCCATCCAGCAGGCTAATGCCAAATGGCGCCTTTGTGGCATGATTTTTTTTGAACCTAGGGAAAGTCCCAGAAATATCCGAGTTTTATATTGCACTATATGACTGCAGAGCAGTTCAAGGGGTCCTGGTGGTGCTGCTGGAGACAGGAGGAGCTCTGTTCCTGCAGACTTCACAGTAATCTGGTTTCAATTAATATCATACCTCGCTGTTTCTTACTCAGAAATACATCACAACAACTTTCTATCCCAGAACCCTCCCTGGGACATGACTTTAGGTGGGAGGAGTGAGGAATCTCGCTGTTTTGTTTCCCAGCAGGGAAGACTGTTACCACTGGTAACATTTTTCTCCCTCTCTATGCCTTTGTATGGAGACAAGGGAGATTTTATCACTTGCTTCTGTTACTACCAAACCCTGGAATAAAGCACTTTATTTGCATTTCATATACTATTTTTACAGTGTATGAAGAATAATATTTGTGTTGAGCTGTTAAATATTGACAATAGTCCCACCCTATTTATCAAATACTGACAGCTGACCAAGCAAAGGAGTAAAAGTTATTTGGAAATTTGGATCTTCTTGAAGCCTTTAAATATATTTCTAGAAGTTGGAGGCTTTCCCAGTTCACACAGCTACTCTAATAGCTAGACATACTTGCTCCCTTCCTTATGCCAAGAAGTCAATTAAGAAATACATAGCAAAAGGGAGGCACTTCTAAGGGAACTCATTTTTTTTACTTGTTCTTTACAGAAAAAAAAAATAAAATAAAAAAATCTTTGTCTGAAAACAATAAACATAAGTGAAAAGCCAGCCTGAATCAAAGCCTCGAATTTGAAAATTTGGGGGCTTCGAGATGGAGATGGTAGGGCTGAACAATAACTCTGAACATTACAAATTCCAGCTCCCTCTGACAGTGCCTTTGTTCAGAGGTTTTCTCTCTTAAGACCTCAATTCTGCTTTTGGGTGGAGCACTCACTTGGTACATTGTCAGTACAAACAACACTGAATTTGTCTGCACAGTGTGAACTCCATCTCGGAGTGACTGCCTGAACCCAGGGATCCACGGCAGAGCTGTTCTTTGAGAGCATCCTTTTCCATGAGTACAGTAATTCCCAGAGATTCATCTGACATCAGCAAGAACAAATCTTTATTGAGTGCTGCAAAAATAACAACACTTTACAAAAATAATCTTCTTCTCTAAGTATAACTGACCAGAAGATATTAAGTGCATTATCCTAGTGGAAAAAAACCTCTCAGTGATAAAAATGCTCTTGTCTTTTATTATGGTGTAAACAAATTCACGCTCAGCCTGTAGAATGCAGTTAATCCCAGTTGTGATGGGAATACGTCAGAGGAAACACATTTCTAACAATCATAAAGATACTCACATAGATAAACCTGAGAATCTCTTACAAAAGCCCCCAAGAGAATATAACGTTCTTTCAGGTTATTTTTTTCCATACATCTCTCTTCCTGGGAACTAGATCATTAATTATTGTACTCATATGCAGCCACAGACATCAAGAAGCCACATCTACTCTATTTCCATGTATAAACCCAGAAATTTAATGTGCAGTTCCATAACACTTAAAAGATAAGATCTGTTTTATAGCAAATAGAGTAACGTAGAGAAGACCAAAACCTGTCCCTGCCTGTTTCAAACAATGAGATAATTTTAGCTCCAGACAAGCCATTTCCTAACATTATCTAAACTATAGCTCATAAAAGTTTATGGACTCAAATTCCAAATAGAGTAAGAAAACAATGGATCTCAGTATCTTCACTAATGATAATAGCAGTTGGGTGCCATAAGGCTACTGCTCACAGTGAAATTTTACAGTAGTTTATTTTACCCAAATCTATCAGTGATTTATTCCTTTTTTTAAAGGAATTTAAAATCACAGAATTTGTAGAGATGGTGTGCTTAGTCAATATATGTGATGGTGCTCATGTTACATATACAGCCTTTCAGCTGGGTAAGACCTGGCATGTCCTTTCAGCACAGGTATTAAGGTGTGAATAACAGGAGACAAGGAATATTAACCATGGAGACAAAAGAGTGCCGAGTTTGGGATTTTTCATTTTAATTACCATTACAGTTTGGCAATACAGTTGCACTTTTTCATAACATTGCTGTATTTTAATTTTATTAAGGGGTATGGCATGAGAGGTACCTTTCAACATCTGCTTTTCCCCCCCTCCCTTTCCTAGTGGTGCATTTTGGCATTTCCAGTTTTAACAGAAGTCCAGGAATGTTCAGTTCTGTATTTAATTACAGCACATGCAGGCCCAGTGATGTAATAAGAAATCTCAAATCAAATGAAGAACACATGTCAACAGCTGGGTAAGTAGCTACTATCTTGGGTAAGTTTATGTGCTGACTTAGACCTCTGGAATATTCAATCTGAAGAGATGGAGTCAGACCTTTAGGTCAAACCTTTGATAACCCTCAGAGTAAAAGTGTTTTTTTCTCAAGAGTAAATAGAATTTCCTGTATTCTCACCCAATCCCCCTCTACCAAGCCTAGGTCTTCCTTGTTCCAGACTTTCCCACTGGTCTCAAGGACCAGGTATTTCTGAGGCCATATCTTACTAGTAAAGGCTGAAGAAAGCACTGACTATCCCAGACTTTTCCACGTTGCTCTTGCTGAGACCCCTGCCCAATTCCCCCAGTGGGTCCACATGTCCCTAGTCTTCCTTTTGTTGCCAACACATGTGTAGATGCCCTTCTTGTAGCTCTTCATGGCCCTTCCAAGACTTTGGCTTTCCTGACCATCCCTCTATGCTTGGACACCTCCTGGGTGACCTGACACTGCTTCCACCTCTTGTGGAAGCATCTTTTTCATGTCTGAGCTTTGTCAGCAACTCTTTGTTTATCTGTGCAGGCCTCCTGCTACTTTTAAGGTTTATTTCCTGCCCATTTTAATGGACCTTTCTCAAGCTCAGAGGAGGTAATCCTCAAAAAATCAGTAAGATCTCAGTGACCCCTCTTCTCTCCTGGACCGTATCCCATGACATCCCTGAACAGGCCAAAACTTGCTCTCCTGAAGCCCAGGGTTGTGATCCAACTATTTGCCTTTTTTTTTTCTTTCAGAGCCGCATCTTCAGAATTATGTCCCTTAAAAGAAGGAAATAAAAAATCCACAACCTGGATATCTTATTTCCCATCTCTGAAATTAAACATAAGCAGAAGTTAGCCCTCTCCTGACGACATTGCTACAGAAAGAAACCCCAGCCATTATTTAAGTCTCTTCCTCAGATACTAATTTTCTCCTTTCCCCTCTGAGAATGGGGTGGGTACCATCGAGTTAGAACACAGAGAACCCTCCCGTTTTGTGCTCTCTTTTTCAGACCAGTTTTCCTTTTTTATTGGTGGAGCAGTGTGACTGGAGCTTGTTCTTCAGCACATTTTTCCACGCTCTCCTTCAGAGTACTTGCTGTATCTTCTTCAGACAGATCCAGCAATTCATCATAACTGGCCCCCAAGCCTGTTTTGCTTCACTCATTGTTTTCAAACTTGAATCTCTGTCATTCATCATTGTTATGAAGGTAAACTGTAGGTTGATACTAATGTGGAGCACCCACCCTTCCCCTTAAAGAAAGCGTCTTCTAAGACCTTCCTCATCCCATGTGTCAGCTTGGAAGTTTTTAACCAGAAGGTATTTTCATTTTCTAGTATATAAAACTAAGCATTAGCTACTTCAAAAAACAATTATCTCTCAGAAGACCCGTTTCTGATACCATATTGAGAGTCCAACCATTTCAAACCCATGTCCTTGGGTCTTTTAAATGTGAATTTGAATGTATAGACAATGTGAACTTTTATACAGCCCCAATCCATGCCACTACTTTTGTCTCAGAACACGATCAAAGCTTATTTTTGTACAGCAGAAACACACAAAAGCCCTGAGAGATATGTACTTTACATTCGACACAGACATAATGTCACTATAATTAATCAAAACACATTCTAATGACACATTCTCCCTCACAAAAATGGTCAGAGTGCCCCAGAGCAGTTAATGACTGCAGACAGTGGAGCCCTGGGGTAGGATGGTCAATACAACAGAGCCACAGGTCAAAAAGGATTTTCTGGGATTCCCTCCCACCCCCTAAAATTACAGGCATGAATGTAAGGCATCACAATCATGCATTTTCTAATACAACCCAGCTCCTGGTAGCTACTGG